ATTACAATCACAATACAATTCAAGACAAGATGGTAAGGAGGGCCCTGCCCGTGTGAGCTTACAATACTAAGAAGGTTTGCTCTATGATCTAGTATACAGTTCCAAGAAAAAAAACATGGTCATTGTGAAATTCTAAAGAACAGGAGTAATGCATTCCAATGTACTTAGATCAGAACCAAGAAAAAAAAAAAAAAAAAAGGAAGTATATTTATTATCAAATCTTTGCAAAGTTGGTAGGGTGGCCTGCTATTAAACCAGAAATCCCTGTTGTTTACATACAAAAGGGAAAACTATTATTAAAGCTGGCTTTCAAATAAAAATCGATCTGTAGTATTGCAGAACTATAAAAAATATTGATCAACTAACAGCTTACAGAAAATATCAGAATAGCATCAGCCCTGTAACATAAGCAAATCAGCATTTATGATTCATGAACAGTAAAAAAAAAAAAAAAAAGGAACCCTGAGCTATAGCTTAAATATAAAAAAAAAAAGATTTTCAGAGTGCATACTTATACTTCCTTTTTAGGGAGTAACATTGCATACATTTAAATATTGATGAGCATCCATGCAATGATAATAAAGCTTCCAAGCAGAGTGAGGCAAATGTGCTTGCATTGGTAAGAAACATTTCATGCAACAGAATGATGTCGAGTGACTTTACAATTATAGTGAAAGGCTATGCTGTAGACAATCGGTGCTATCTACACTGATACTGAATAAGGTTTATTTTCTTTCCAACACGTCTTGTGGTAATTTTCCAAACCAGTTAATTAGCCCCTGGCAGGCTGACATGCCACTAATTGCATGAGCTGTTAATTAGCTCTCAGCCTTATTTCCCAGTAATTTCCCAGTACTGCTCCTCCAGACAGAGGACTAGAGAAGGATGTACTGTACACATGCAGCTTGCATGGTTTTCTCACTTCTGTACCTTATTACTTTGAAAGGCACTGATATAGCAAACATATAGGCCTCAGTTCCAGTGAAGCGTGGCCATGTACTATCAGATTTATTAAATCATCACAAGTACATCTGAACTCCTTCTCACATATAAATATACACAAATCTCTCCTTCCTCCCATACACATACCATTAATTACACTTTCACCTATTTTAAAGGGCCTGTTTACAGCATTTGTTTCAAATTTGTGTTATATACGTACACAGTCTAGTATTGTGACATGCTGCTCTGCTGTACACAATGTAGCAGGCTTGTTAGGATGGCTGGAGATCTGGTTAGCCAGGGCAGAGGAGACACTAAAATTATGTAAATTACTTATTTACCGAACACTTTGAAACAGAACAGGGATTGAACATCAATGTAAATTGGAGAGCAACTAGTGGACATCATGACCCTCAACATCAATGTAATATTTTACAGACCATGTCATCTAGAGCTGCTTGTGCTAGCTAAGTATAGGACATCATTGATCCAAACTGACCCATGGTTTTCATTCTAAGAATGTTTTGAAAAACATATGTCTCATTTTCTCTAAGGAATTGTACTAGCAAGAAAAGATTTAAATGGCAACGAGCAGTATGAAAGATGATAACCTGTAATGTCTTGCAGTAGGCCCTAATCACAAGTATAAATGGGGCCAAAAGTATGCCTAGATACAGTAACAATATCTAATTCTTATACCTTGTACATATGTTGATACCACTTCCCTTGCTTAGTGCTTTGTGTTTTTTGTATCTTGCCACCAAATAAGCAAGTTTACAGTAAAGATGATATATTTACATACATTTTTAAAGATCATATGTTTACAGTTAAAACCTGGGAAAATACCCTTACAGCACAGCATTATTGTATACAAAATGCAGTTCTGTAATAGGAATAGTTGAACAGTCTAAAGATGGCTAATTTAATATCAATCTGCTGACACAATCTCCTTACATTTACCAACTACATAGTGCAAGTGCTAACTTGACTTTAATATATGGAATATGTGTAATGGAATGGTTTTCTTAGGTAGGCCCTCCGACTACATTGTTGGTGGTAAACCTAAAAGGAAAGTGTACTTAAGTTTTACAATTACATTGTATTGTTTGTTATTTTCCCATGTCCACAAATCAGATGCAAAGTTTTCGGTTCAAAACTTGGATTGGTGCATTCTGGGAAGTAAGTCTGGTTTTTGGTGATGTATCATGTAGAAATATAGTAAACATGTGCACTTCCTAAGTAATCGATTATATACATTCATAGCCCAAACTTGGGGGTCATTAAGCAAATTACAACCCAACTAAAAAACATTGATGAAAGCATTTGATAGAAATATAACAAACAAATGTACCAATAGGTTCAGTCTCCAAATGTAAGTTATTGGTGCGCTTGCTTGTTATATTTATATGAAATGGTTCTGATATATCAGGTCCCATGCACTCTACTAAAACACAAATCAAGGCAATAGTTCAAAGGTTCTGGGTCTTGGCACTTGATCATGTTAGTTGTTTAAAATTATAGTATAACCGAATGCATTATTTAATTAATCTATGCAGGCATATTAGAATCTACGGAAGTCCAGTGGGAATGCATAAGTTAAAGGCACATGTGCATCAGGTAGTAAATACATATTAAGTCTAAGTTTTACAGCAATAGATTTTTTTACAAAATTCTTATACATTTGATTCCCTCGTGTCATCATGTGATTTCATGGATTGGAAACATGTAATGCTCTGTAGATATATACACATAATTTACGATCCATTTTCCCCATTTAAAATAGGTGCCCTTATGATATATCTGTTTAGGCACAGAAGATCATTGCCTCTAACTGAAGCTGTAATGATGCTTGTCGTGTTGTAGATCCAAATTTGATTTCCGGATATAGAGTCTCTGACTGGCCATGCTGAATTGTTAAGCTTCTAAGGAACATAGGTTTAGCTGCAATTCCTACTCTTATGCCATTCCATTTGATTGGCAGAAGCTCTAAACCGATTACTCAGTGCACCTATTCTTCATGGCCATTCCGAGTGGTAAGGAAAAAACAAAAACACTAAAAATAATTTCAAATTGTTTCAGTTTTTTATTGTCCTTAATGGATACATCACAGAAATAATTATAAAATTAGGAAGATACATTACTGCAACATTGCGTAAGAATCATTGGCAAAGATACTTTTATTTGCTAAGTGAATTATTTTGTCTTTGCTTGATGCTTAAGTTACGTCAGCTTTTGGCTTTAAAGTCTGTGCTTTGTGATCCAGAACACATTCAGAACAGATTTTAAGAAGCAAATTTTTAATGCTAAAATCCTAGTGAATTACATACTGTACATACAAAAATGCTCTATTACAGTATAACCCAATTTCCCAACCCCTTGTTCTAGAAATATTTTTTACCACATACAATGGATGTAAAAAAAATCTCAGGTCATGATATTTGCCATTCGTGATGTTGCATTCTTTGAAGTCGGGCCAAGGAGTGTTTTCTGATTGGCTGATACCTTTGTTGCAAATTCACAAAACTCCCCTTGGAATATTACATTCAGTCTCTATCCACAGGGAGATTGACAAGAACATACACTGCCACAGAAATGACATTCAGCTTGATTGAGAGAAATTCTACTTCTAGTTAAAACTCTGCAGTTATTTTAAATCCTTTGTTGTATAAATTCATCTTTCTTTCTTCTTTACAATATCGATCCAGACTCATCTAGTCAACCAATGACCTATGCGTTACTACATCCTTATTCTCAGAGTACAGTGAACACTACAATTCCTGACCATGCCTTGAATGGTTTTAGTGTGCCTGAGTTTTTTTTATATGACCCCTAATTTGTGTGCTATTCCTAATAATAATTACTGCAAGTAACATCTGGTGCATGCAGCTGAAGATAAGAAAGGGGAAAAACACAAATAACTTGACCATTACCTTATGCAGCCCAGTCTGCAAATAGGACATTACTGGGATGTTTTACTAAAAAAGTAGATTTCATCCTCATGAATTAAATGCGGTTGCTTCAAACATCCAACCAAGTGCAGAAGTTCCTACGCTTTTAAAATGGAGGTTTTAAATGAACACTAAAAGGCAACACTACCATTTTTGTGAATCAACCTGTATGAGTCATTTAGAGTGGTTAATGCAGGTCTACTTTCGTCCTTCGACTAGGTATCACACTGAAGTAGCATGTAGGATAACTGTCAGATGGAGCAACAAGGGATGGAAGATTTTGTTGTTGCTGTTTATACATATAAGGTACTTGTTTACCATGTGAAGACCTCATTCAAGTTAATGAAACAGTTCAACCAACCAAATATTATATTTTAGTGCTAATAGAACAAACCACATTCTAGCTCCTCTCTCTGCTGGAGTTTCTGGCTAAACAGCTCTCATATTATGTGGTCATGTACAGCAAATTAAAACTCAACAAGATATATGTGACTTCTGTTATGGCTGTAGCAAGTAAGCATCATTAGGGACCCAGGGATCTTGTTATTGATGTAACCAATATCAGAGTCTGGTGGCTGAGTCAACCCACAGTCATCAAACCATAAAAATTATTTGTATCCCTATTCAATATCTGAATGTTTTTAAGTTGAAACAAACAGTTTAACTGCATAATCAATCCCAGTAACACCTAAAGGTTTGGTATAATTTCCATCCTAAGAATGTACTTATCTGTATGAATTCTTTTTATCTATAAATCGGTGAATATATGACAAGGAGAAAATGTTACATACATGCTGTATTTGGTGTCAGTTATGCTTTTATGTTTTATTTACCGTGCAACTACTGGATGTAATTTCCTTACCTGGAAGGAAACAAAGGGTATAGCCTTAAGATCGGTTTTAAAGAAGACTGTTGACTCATGGAGGTATGATTTGTTCTCAAACGCTCTTAGGAAGAACATATACAGTACCTCCCAACAGTTCATGGAGAGCAGTACTAATTTTAGGCCAATCAAGTGGTAGGAGGTAATCAAAAGGGCTGCGGATTTGAACAAATAAGGTTAATTTGCTAAAACATTTGGGAGGATATATATCCTGTTTTTTATAACGTATTTGAGGGTAGAATATTGGTTAAACCAAGGCTGCATCTTATGGCACTACACGTAACCAAAGTTAATTTATTATCTCTTTCCATCACTGTACCATTTTAAATCAAAAAGATTTCTCCATATTTCATTCTTCACACCCACATAATAACATAATTGCTTTAGAATGTTTTCATTAAATGTTAAAAAAGCTGTGTTGCTTCCTTTCTAATTAGACTTGCTAGCATTTTATTAATTTACACAAGAACCTATTTACAGTTTAATGGTGAAGCCTGTGGTCGGACTGCAATATAATCAATATAAATGTATTAAATTGATAAATACAGTTTTACATGATATTGAAGATTTCATTCAGCATCTACATAAACATCCTACTTTGGAAATATAAAAAAAAAAAAACTGTGCCCCTGTGCTGGCAGATAAGTATTCCATATGCCATATGCCAATACTGAATTAGTGGGTATCACTTGTGCTTTTATGGGTCCCGGAATCTGCTACACAATGGCCACAGAGAAGAAAATCAGTCAAGCATGTTAGAAGAACCCTCAAGGAAGCACGTGGCAGTTGTGGGCATTTACAGTTTACAAACGCATAAAGGAACGGGTGGAGTCAGACAATAGGAACATTTTCTACTTCCAAAGGTTGGTGGAGTATCCAGATTGGACAACACTTTATGATATCACACTTCAGGTAGTTGCGATCTAGAAAAAAGACAGAGCCCCCATCCAAGTTGGGAGCCAGGATTGTAAGATCCGTCCACAGGCTCACCGTTCATTGGGACTGATGAAAGGGAAACAAAAGGTCATGTTCCCCTGACTATGCATAAAACTCCTCATGATTGTCCGGTTTCTGGTATGAGACACTAGCTGGTTTGGGCTCCTCCAGGGCATAACTTCCTTCATCCTTCTTCTTCATGCGATAAATCAGCAACATCACTAGGAATGCAGCAAACAGGGCTCCGACCACTCCTCCAACTATTACAGCTAAAGAAATGTAAAAAACAAACCATCATTTCATTATAGGATCCAAATGGGATAAAAGCATGCATCAATTCCTTTTTTACATGGGTTAAAAAAAACAAATTAACCCTAAAGTAAACCTGTCCTAAGAAAAATATGGAGGCTGCTATATCTAAGCTCCTTCTGAAAATGCTAGTTGTTAGGACCCTCTAACTTTAATACTTTCTGAGTAACTGACTTATAACAAGATCATCAAAGTCAAAGACAAGCCCTTATCTGCATACTTGTTAAATGTCTGTGACTCAAGATACTGAAGTAAGAGGGTCAGCATTATAGCCAAGCAACTAGCATTTTTATAAGGAGAGGTCATTAGAGGTCCATGCTTCTTTTATGACAAGTTTACTTTAACTGTACACTGGTTTTCTTCCTCCAATACCAGAAAATATACTTTAATGTTCTATAGTGTCTTCTATAGGAATTGCCTGTTATGTGTACTAGAAAATGATAGTTTGAGAATATCTGAGTCTCATTATTTTGTATAGGACAATACATAGTGCTTAATAAAAACATGAATGTATACGTATACGGTCCATCAGCTACCACTCATTCAAGAGCTGGCAATCAATACTTCTTGATTGCTGTCACAAGCCACAAATGGAAGCTGGCGAAAGGCAAGGAAATAGATGATTTGATTTAACTAGGCTCGTTTATAAAAAAAAAAAAAAATACAGCTACAGTGCTGCATATGGACACAACTAGAATTCACAAACCTGATGAAACTATTTCAAAAGATACTTCATGCTAAATAAGCTTGATGATGCTAAAATATTAGCAAAAGGCTTGCTAAGAAGAACGTTTAGGTCACAGAAAAAAATATTCTTGGTAACAAAACTAAATAGAATTGACACTTCTGGCTCTACTTATTTTGACATACCAGCATATCTGCTCACAACTGTGCCTGACTGCAATTTCACATGTAATTTGCACTGAATAAAGAAACACCTTTTTGTAACCTAAACATTCATAATATGCATTATTCCAGTATCAGTAGCATCACATGTCACTGCTTTCCGCTTTCAGTAATTTTAGCGCTGAGATTGTTATGAAAAAAAGCAGATACTCTCCAGAATGTGCAAAACAGGATGCACAAGGTTACCAAAGTTTAACTAACAGCAAGAAAAATGTTGATTTCCGTGGAAATCTCTTGGGCCATTTCCCAATGTTTTAAAGCAAGTAGTTGCACTTTTTGAAGAATGTGGTATAAAACATGAACTAGCTATTTTTTTGTTATTGGGATATTACTAAAAAATTAGTGGCATCACAATGGGGGTGCGACCCGCACTAGGTGACACCATCAGAGGGGGTGACACCAAAATGACTGACAGTTATTTTGGTGTCACCCCCTGTGAAAAGTCAGGCACTTGGTCATGGGCCGAGCACACAACAGTTGCATGAGAGAGGAGGGGAGCCGGAGGCATACCTTTTCCCGTCAGTCGACCATCCCCTCTTCCCTTTGGCAGGTAAAGGCATATGTCATCACGCGCATATGTGATGACGTCCCAGGTGGGTGTCACCCGGCGGCCACTCCGAGTGACACTACGCCTGGGGACACCCCTGCTAAAATCCTTTCTCAGTCACATGTAGATGACCTCAATGGACAACACTCTGTTCCCTGTGGAACCCCTTTTTTAAGCTTGAGAGGTGAGTATGATCCTCTGATACACTTAAAAGAGAACTTTGTGGTAAACGTTTTATCCCATAGTTCTCTTAAGGCTTACGGGAGGACATATACTAACGTCCTCCCATGAACGAAAGCTCATTATATAGCGAGCTAGAGCTCGCTATATACTGAGAGCGCCAAAGCCAGGACGGATCCCGACAATACTGTCAAGATCCACCCAGCTAGCTGATTAACAGTGGGCTCTGCCCAAGGCAGAGCCGGCTGTGCATGCCCCCTCCCCCGTCCGTTCCTCCAGTCAGTGCTGGAGGATCGGAGTGGGGAAACCCTGCGGGGAGCAGTGACTGACAGTACTGCTCTCTACAAGGAGATGATTGGAAAGTGAGCGAGCGATGGTATGGGTTCACTCACCTACCGATCAATAGAGCCGACGGGTGACAGTTTAATTGTCACATTAACTCTAACTATGAGGATGAGTGTAAATCACTCACCTCATAGTTCTCCTTTAAGGTCCCCTAGGGGCCATGTGTGCCGTGGGTTATCTCACTGCCCTGACAGCCTATGCCCTATCCTGGTGGTATGAACACGGGTACTGAACTAACAATGGAGACTTGGCCGAGCCATTCAGTAGCAGATCTGGGTAGCTTCGACCTGTCTAATCATAAGAGGAAATGGCCATCTGACCACCAATGTCTATGCCAATAGATACTTGCAGCCATGATCCAAATGCTTAGATGCCCATCAAATTCTGTGAACTTTTACAGAGAACTCTCTTGTTTTTTTTGTTTATGTGTTTATATGTTAATATGTTCATATTTTTGTATGTAATTATTTTAACAACAATTGTCCATACCATGTACATGTTCGAATATATTTTTGATGTCTGAATGTATATATACAAAAAATTAAATAAAACGTATGTGGGGGAAAAAGCAGCAGGCAAATATATAAAACTCATTTCCACCAATTTTTAACAAAGTTTGGGAGATTTTAGCAAAGTTTCACCGTTGTGGCAAAATGCAAAGGAAAGGAGAAATTAGCTCGTTTTTAAGGGTGCAATGAGCTTTTTAATAGCTTATGAGGGTTATTGAAAACAACTATATTGGATCTTGTGCCAAAAACAGCACCTCATCAGCCTCATTATTTTATGGAGGGTTTTTTCACAGAAAAGAAAGAAACTGAAAGTTAAAAAGTGGAATGAGTGGTATATTTATCAATGATCGACAGTATGTTAATTTTACCCAACATCTGCCTAAAATTCACCTAAAATTATATGATGAAAATTCATCCTATTTATCAAGTTAACTTAGTGGAAATATATTCCAGAATTCACTTATATTCCCTGACAATCAGCAACATCTGTTCTTCAATAGAAACATGTCATTACTATAAAAAAAAAGAGTGAATGTAACCTTCCCGGCACATTCATCTAACCTATTTTTAACTATAATTCACCTGGTTGAGCTGTCAAATTATAGCATTTCCTTCTGAAAATGCAATGACTGTTGATGGAAAATGTGGAACCTGTGTTTTTAATACAGGTTAAGCACTTCTACAAGTTTTGTTTTCTTCTTTGTAATTTAAAAAAAAAATTGTCCCCCACTTCCCAGAACTATATAAACAGTTTTTGAATCTTAGGGAGCTACTGCTCTCTGTCTAGATCTACCTGCAGGGTACAAACCTATTCTTTACAGCTACTGTACAAATGAGCTTCAACGGCTGTTCACTAGCTGCTGCATTTGTCTGGTGCACATTCCTCTTACTGTAGATAGGGAAAAATTACTGTGGAATGCAAGTTGAATTCTATCGATTCTCACTTGGGTAAATTTCAGTAATAGATTTGAAGGGTGAATTTCCAAATAAACCCTTCATAAAAAGACCTCTAAACAACACAACAGTACATCAATAATCAAATACACCAAATAAGAAAAAAATACAAACGCTAACAAGGTTATTTACAAAAAGATGAAGAGTTCGGAGAAAGCAGAAGTGAACAATCTAGGACAAAATAGCTGATTTGGAAACATTCTCCAATTCAATGAACATATGTTCTCCTAGATTGTTCACTTCTCCTGCCTTCTCCAAACTCTTCACCCTTTTGTGAATAGACCTGTAAATGAAAACTGAACTACCCTGAATACACCCCTAAAAACACACAAATATATTTTTTTCAAGTACATTTATTGAGAGAAAATGAGAGTTTCTAGTAATTTGTCTGTGAAATCATCTTCCCTAGTAATCACCTGAAATCAGTTTTCTCACACCAGCTGAAATTCAAATGCTTGCAACAACAGGGTTTGCTCTGTGGGTTTCTTAGTGGGAGGGGTAGGTTTCTAGTTTTCTAGAAAAGAGGAAGCTCAGGATTGGTGTCACTAGTCTAGTAATGTTCATTGACAGTCGAAATAATAGACAGGAGGTCATCTCAGGCTTTGAGTCTGACTCAAAGCCTGAACTTGAGTTCAGACTCAGGCATTGAGTCTGAACTCAATGAGAGAGCTGTGAGTTGTGCACATGCTCTACCTATTACACTATTTTGACTTTCCTTATGCAGTGTGGTATGTTTCCTGTCTTTGCATTTGCGTTTCCCCAAAACTGTCTGACCACTCTCACCTGTCTTTCAAGCACTGCATGAATCTTTAATTGTAAGTGCACTATTATCTGCCTATGTTATTTTTTACATGAATGTGCGATTTGTGAGTTCCTGTGCTAGCAAACCTTTGACTCAAAACTTGCTGTGCGGGTAATCCTGTCTCTGTGAGTTTGTCCTTGGCAATGTTCCAACCCAATTCTCACTGTTTGGTTCATTCTGCCTTTGTGTGGTTGTCCATAAATATTAACTGGACCAGCTCCTGCTGTCTGGCTGCACTACTCCTGGGTATCCATTTGCTCTACTTGTAGTATCACTGGTTCTCTGTCTGTGGTTCTATTTGGAGCCTGCCATTTCCCTTGTTTTATATGGCACCCTTTCTATTTATGTTTCAGTTGTCACTCCGCAGTGCTTCTTGTTTTGCTCATCTGAGGCAAGGATTGCCCTTGTGCTTCACTTTTATTTTCCCAGTCTGTTGCCTAGTAGCTTCCTGTCGGTGAAAGATTTATCTTACACTGCAGCTCCCTCTGTAATCCCTCAAATTCCTAATCTGTTCTTCTATCTTCTGCCCCAGTTTTAGCCAGCTTTCTCTCCACTTGTACTCAGTGTCTCTGTCAAAGATTTTGTGTCAGTTGTTGGTATGCCTAAACTCTGATACACTTATATGCCACAGGTACAGGGGATGCTGAGCAGTAAAACATGGGGGCTACGAATTGCTTTTGAATGTTGATAATTCTTCTAAAAGAAGGCTTCTATGGGTGTAGGAGATCATCCAGACATTGACACTTCTTCTTGACCCATGGGCTTGCTGTCAGGTCTGCTGCTCACATCTTAAGTCTTTTTGTCTAGCCTTTGCTTGAAAAAAAATTATGATTTACCTGTAAATGTATTTTCTTGGAGTAAAATGCAGGACGCAGGACCTTCAATCATAGACCATGGACCACGTCCAAAACCAGTCAACTGAGGGGTGGGCAACACAGCAAACAAACGCCAGCAGGCCCACAGAACAAGAGTAAGGACCCTAAGATCTCAGAGAACCGCTTAGAGAACCTTGCAGCTGAAGCTAGCATGAGAGGAGGCCTGACCATCCCCCTGGTAAAACGTAATAAATCTTACCCTACAAATCTTAGAAATGGATGCCTGATGCTGAAAAGCCCATTCATTTATTGCTGTGACTCATTAATTAAAGTGTTATAGCCCGCTTCTCATGCTGCCACATGCTCAGGTGTAGCAGCATGAGCTCATTGGCTGTGAATGTCACAGCCCTTGCTCCTGGTGACCTGTGAGGGAAACACAGCAGTGGCACCACAGGACCCAGTTTAAAGGGCAATGCCCTGACTTACCACCGCCCTGAGAATAGACAACATGACCATAGGATGAAGCGATAGAGTCATTTTGGTTTTGACCATGGCTTAATCTGATTTAATCTCTAGCTTCAGCTACACCTTTAAGGTTGCTATTAGTTACTAGATTGCATGATCCTATCTAATGTGCCTCTAATGCTAAGACTAGGAGTGTCAAATCCACTTAACTGTGACTAGCAGTCTCCTGCTGGTGCTCACTGTCGTGTAGTGTCACATTCTCTGCAAAATAGCAGAAAATGAAAAGTGATGTCAATCCCTTGTACTATGCATCCATGTAGAATAGCGGGGATGGGAGGACTATTTGGCAGGTAAAACAGTTCATATACAGTAAATTTACTTTTAAACCATGTATTTACCTAATTGGTTAGATGTGCCCTACAGGATTATCACATAAAAACTCCAACACCACGATTTTGTTCTCGCTGCTGAATTAAGTTACGACAGAGAAATCACAGAACACAAGTTAATTGCTTCTGTTTTGTGACATCACAGATTTATTTGTGGAATTCTATGTGTTTTCAAAATGATCAAAAGTCTGCTCCTTGTAACTGGAGGACTTTGGAGGATCAGGGTACTATGCAAATAATGTATCAGGCTCTTCCTTCTATAGGACAACTTTGTTTCAGATGGTACCATCCTAGGAGTGACAGAGCTGAGGTTCTTGTCTTGTTTCCAGGCTCTCTCTCTCTCTCGACCTATTCACCACTAGTAAAGTGCAATCTTGATCTAATCGTACAGTGTTAGGTGTACAGAGACATATTCAGTGGGTTCATACAAACGTACCCTTTTGTACGAGTCCCAAAATATTTATTCTATGGTACACTGATTAACATTATACCACATACATCGCCCATGTGCCATGTGTATGCATGTGACACACAATTGTACATCATCTGTGGCCCAGCATGTAAAGCCAGGAAGAGTATACCAGTACAAGATGATGTCACTTGTAATGTGTGTGTGTGGATGAAAGCAGTAGCATGGAGGAATAACTAATCTCCTGAGAGGCTGGCTTACTTTCATTATTATAAACAGGCAAACATGTTTTCATGACATTAATAGTAAGATCCCAATTCTGCACTACTAGCAGAAAAGTATATAAGGCTCCTCTATCCTCTCAGTCATGTGAATATAGGAACACATGACCAACAGTGTCTTTGGCAGCTCTAATTCTATTGCACTAGTGGCAAAATGTGGCAATGATAGCTTTTTTGAAACTTTAAACAAAAATGCAAAGAAAATTGCTGTGGGGAAGGATAGACATAATGGGGGGAATTTATCAAAGCTGGAGCAGACAAAATCTGGAGCAGTTTTGCAGTGCAACCAATCAGCTTTCTCTGTCTCATTTTCAAATCTTACCTAAGCAAACTGGAGAGAGATGCTGATTGGTTGCCATGGGCAACTGCTCCAGATTTTGTCTGCTCCAGTTTCTATAAATTCCCCTCATTGTTCTTTGTAATCTACCTTGAGGAACATAAAAAATAATAGATTTGCTGCATACAAAATGGTCAGGCACAGTGATCCCTCACTTCATCACATAAATAAGACTTCAATCAGCCTTTAGGTTTTAGCGGAAAACAGTAATAACATGCAGCAGATTCAGAAATTGATGTACTGCTAAAATGCATTCCTGTCACAAACCAAAATCCCTGAAATCCCTGGCAGCTTGTGTCTGCAAAAGATGAGATATGTTTAACCACTGAAATGTAATTTTCCTGGATGTCAAGTAATACAGCCTCTTGACATTTTTGTACTTAAACATAATTCCTTAGAATCAGGCTTTTGTCAGACTTCATGAAATACTGCTGCTTTCCAATTAAATACTATTATAAAGATGAAATATTTTGAGTAATACACTATATATTGCACACAAAAAAAAATCAAGTATAAATGAGCTCACCTATCAATACTTCTCTTCTCTCCAAAATGTTCTTTTGTGGCATTTGTGCCAATGTATTTCCAGAATCTATAGTGTTGTCAATTAGGCCAGTATCTGCCTTCCTTCCTCGACCATGGTCAGTGGGAGCTGTTCCTGGTGGCAGTACTTCATTTCCCAGGTCGAATATTGTGGGTGGTTGTGTCTGAGATTTGCTGTCTTCTTCTTGGATCTCAAAGTCCCCACTTGGCCCTCCACTGACAGGAATCTCTACTTCATTGTCACGAGCAGTGGCTATTGTCACTTCCCAGCTGTCTGTCTGTCATCAAGAAAAGGGCAACATAAGATTGAAATAGACAGAACGTGTGCCAATGATACATTTTAAGCTTATTGAAATAGATCAAATAAAGAGTCCACCAAACCAAGAGCTCCAAACCAACATATAAATATGAACCTATACAGAATGATAGTTGGAAGAGAATAATACAGAGGCACTCTCTTCTTACATTCTAAATGAGAGGTTACATAGTTTTATAGGTATTTATGCATATTGGTGCTAGGCAGAAGAAAGAGAAGAAAAAGATCTTAGAACTATATGATCAAACGTCTCAACTAGAAAGGATTCATAAATAGATCCTATCGATTAAAGTTTCCCTGAAAACCTAATAACATATAAAGTAGTGATAGTAAAAGTCTCAGCTTCAAAAAAGACACTGTTAAAGATAAATCCTATTATAAAAACTTTTTTTGGTGTTACAATGTTGGCTAATAATAGGAAACATGAGCCTATAATATATCAATCATAACCCTCAAATTAAAGCCGATCCTCCCCCGCAAACAAATAAATCCCCTGTGTATGCAGCTCTGCATGCTGACCTAAAACATAATTAAATCAAAGCATTAACGTAGAACTCCAGGATTTTTTAAATTAACTCTTGCAGTGCTGGGGGTAGCCTGCTCATTTGTGTCTAGGTAAAAAAAAAAACAAAAGAGCTACTTACCTAGAGCCAGCTTCTTCTTAGACCGGTCCCTGGAATGTCTCTCCATCACCACTGCAGCGGTCCAGTAAATTATCACGTCTATACACTGTGCATAGATGTGAGGACGCTGAGGAACACTCCAATCTGCTGTGGAGGAGGAGACAGGCTGGAGGGAACGCTGTGACAGTTGGCTGACTCGGAACTTTGGGTGAGTATATCTTTGTTATTTTAGCACCAAGACACAAACGAGCACTTAACTCTTGCAGTGAAGGGGTAGGATTTCCTCCAGCTTTCTAGTCTGTCTGACACCTGTCAAGTAAACAGGACTTCAGTAGATGTTTCCCTTATTTCCGGTTCTGTTTGATAGTCATCATATAGATAGGAAGTAAGGGGGAATCTCCAGAGTGGTGACACCAACAGTAAAATATGATAGCTCTGTAGTAATACAGTAGTCCTTAAAAATCCACTTTTTACATTTTAAACTATGTTACATAGTGTTCAAACCATGTGAATCAAAGCTTATTTAGTTTTGTGTAATGAAAACATGCAGTAAAAATAGTTTATTTCTAAAAGAAAGAGGAAGAACATCTATTGTGATTTTATTACTGTCTGTGTCCATGTGATGGGTGTCAAACCTAACTTGAGGAGAAACCTGTGGGTACACAAGCAGCCTTTAAAAGCTAAAATAGGGCAGTGCATCCCTTTAGGCGGTGACTTTGACACAAAGTTCAGTGGAGTTAGGGTCTTGGAAACAAAGTGAACAATTTTCATGAAAAGAAGGCACCTGTACAGATTATATGCTGCTAATAATATGGAGTGATTGCTACATGACAACCCTTTTTATGTTTCACTGCTAAAGATAAGTTAATACAGTAAACTCCCACTTATCCGCCACCTACGGGGATTATCTGTTTAATATGAGGGTTTGTAGGGTTTTGAAAGTTTCTTTCTTTAATTTAAACTAGAAAGATACAAAAATCTAAATGCAAAGTGAAACCAAGGTCAGTGGTTTTCTGTTAATAGCAGGCAGTTAACTTTACACAGGACTTTTACTTTTAAAAGTTTAAAATGGATGACAAGTTCAATCAAAGGTAACTCTTTGTGCAATAATTAATGTTAAGCTGGGATCAGACATTAAAAGTAAGCACCTAGAAGTACCTGCATGTATTTTGCATACCCTGTCCCTTCCACTCACCATTGCTATGGGCCACATGCACGAGTGGGGGCACCTCTAAGCTCTTGACCACAAAAGAAGATCTACATAGAGTGCCTGAGGTTTCTGGATAACCAGGGTAATATGGAATTAATTTAACATGCACCAGGAGCATGAGGATGTTTACTTACAGGCTAGAAACGTATCCTTGAACATTTACTAATGAAGTTTCATTGAAATCAATATAAATGCATCAAAACATATGCCCATGCTTGTTGTAATGTATTTTATAAGATGCATTAGCATTAACACATATAATGACACACATATTAAAGTGAGTGAGTGTGTATTTTGATATGTTTCCATTTATTTGAATGGAATATGAATCAAGCAAAAAGTAGCAATGTTGTAAGGTCAGGGGTCTCCCTACAGGCTCTGGTGGGATGGCCATCAGGCCTGTCTTAAAAGAACTACAAGAGAGCAGTAACAGGACTGTGCTCATGCAGCAAGAGCAGCACTGACCAGTCTGGAACACCAGAAACTGTGCCCCACAGAACACTGTATGGCTAATGAATGATTAAGGTAAGGAAAAAGATTATTTTGCATTACTATTAGTTTATTGTTGACTTCAGCTTTAAGCACCAAAGATTTACTTTAACTATAACTCTACTTAGACTATGTGAACAAAATATTTAAATTTCAGTTTGTCTCTAGAGTCTTAGGAGCTTCAGATCTAGAAAGTGATTCGGTAATCATTCTGTAATGACATATGTTTTCAAATATGAAACTGGAAATGTATCTTGTGATGAGAAGTTTAAATGCATTACTGGGCGTGATCAAAAGAAACTTCAGTGATAATTTGCTTATCCAGTCTTTTAATCCCATTGAAACAATTACACATAAGAAAGACAGCTCTCACCTTATTATGTTATTGTAGAAAATATAGGATTTATGTTTTTAATGTAAAATCATTTTCTTGGGGTCCATTGAGCTACACAGGAATTCAAATATATTTGGGTTATAATGACATGTACATTGTGACTGGACACTGCCAAACAAACTGTAAGCCAGCCCTCGTATGGCCCCCATCTCTACCCATCATGTGTCAGTTCTGTGGTAAAGCAGTACCAACAGCATAAATAGAAATACAGAAGGGTGGGACCTGTGTCCCTCAATGGACTGAAAGAAAAGGGTTTTAATGGTTAAAACAACTAACACAGTACACTCAGGTCTGGAAAGTGGCACAATGCAGAGCCCATTGTCTGAAGGTCATATTTCAGTCTAGCCTGACATATCTAGTCCAGAGGGGTCTGTGTTCTCCAAAGCCTGGATGAGGAAAAGCCAATCTGGATTGCTGCTATGTAGAGACCAGCTCAAGCAGCTGTGAAATTAGTAAAATTGATTAAAGTAAATGTAAGAAGGAATAAAGGAAAAAAATGGGAAAAAAGAAAAAGGCTTGCAAAATTTACTTGGATGTCCATCCTTCATGGGCAAAAAACAGAGGCATGCTGAGTAGAGGAGGGCTTATACCCTCAATGTATCTGAATTCCTGTTTCCTTCAATGGACAAGAAAGAAATATGTTTTGTTCAGAGTCTACCTTCACTAGAATTTTGGTCAAATGAAACAGAATTTCAATAATTTTTTGATCAGAGAAAAATTAACAAAACATGACTTCCAAAAATAAATATTTACCAACAGATTGGCTAAAGCTTGGGACTTACCTACATGCCTTTTTTAACTAATGCTAAAATTGGTTCCCTTACTATGTTTCAGTATCCACATATAAAGCAAGCATTGAAACTGCCCTAAATTTCAATATTTAATATTGAAGTACCCGCAACTAATCTGTACCTCCAATAGTACTATATCTAAATAAGGGAATCAATCTGCTACACTGCCCGTGAAATGGTTGATTAATTAAAGTGACCCTTGATATTCCTATTCTGTCTAAGAGAAGCTGATAATGAGAATTTAGAAAGCATTAAAGAGTTTACAACACCTTTTATGCACAGGTACTGTCATGTAAAATAGAATAGGGAATGGCACCAAACTATGTAATAATAGTATTTTTGAAATTCTTTATGTAAAAATATGATTTTAAAAAGTCAGTCCCTCTAAACTGATGTTTATCTTGTCAGATGTTTACAAATTAAATAGATAAAATGAGATGATACAGGCAAAAAAAAATGAGTCCTCAGTGTCAGAGTTGTACTTTCCATTAAAGCTGATCAAAAAAGTAGGCGATGGTTAGACATGCAGGCCAACCATCTAAAGATATCTTTGAGTTGAGCTACCGGCATAAATATTAGAGGTGCACCGAAATAGAAATGTAAAAACCGAAACGAAACCGAAATAAAAAAAATTGTCAGGCCGATAATCTTCTATGAGTGTTCCTGTTGATTGATAGTTTGAGGACAGAGTATGATTACTATAACTACAACTATGAATGAACAGGAGGTGATTTAGCTCACTTCCCATACATTCATAATTGAGGATATAGTCAACATACCATGTCCTCAATTATCTACAAACACTCAGCGATCACTGAGTGTTTGCTCTCCTCTCTGACACGCTGTCACATGAGGCTGAGTGAGCGGTGCGGGAGGAGAGCTCAGCCTCCTGTGACAGCGCTGTCTCCGCCCCCACAGCGCTCTGCCGCACTGTGATAGGCAGCAGAGCGGTGTGGGAGGAGAGGCACCAGCCGCTCACATCGCTCTCCTCCCGCAGCACTCGGCCGACTGTCACTTACTCTCCTCCCAGCTGGGACGCAGAGCAGTGCCCAGTGGGGAGGAAAGAAACCTGGGATGTGCCGATGTATCGGCAGGAGAATGGCACTTTCGGCATTTAGCCAAAAGTGCCATTTTCGGCCGATATGTTTCGGCGGCCGATATATCGGTGCATCCCTAATAAATATAAAATGGTGGGGCTCCCAATCATTACTATTTATGCTTTGGAACAGCTTATTCTGGTGGAAATAACAACATAAGAACAAATAAGAATTTGGAGAAAATGGCACAAATTTGGCACACATTTTCTGACAGAAATATCTGCAAGAATTGTTTTTTAAATTAAATTGGCTACTTTATGGTATACTGAGCTACCAATGGCTTTATTATTGTTTTGTGTGTATATTATTAGTTTTATGTATTGTTCTTGGCTTTTGTACTTTTATTGTACTCATAAATGAGAATATAGCAATAAATAAATAAGTATGAAAAAACATATAGGATGGAAAGATACTGCTGGTTCACAGCAAGAAGGATAAGTGCACTTTTAATGCAATTATCCCGAGCACCTCTTTCTCATGCTGAGCAATTTTGCAATGGAAAATAACTTTAACTGTAATGTTCCTCTCTAGAAATATTTTTCTGTGTAGCCTTACCGGCACTGCACAGCCTTTCTTTTTAAATATTCCCAGTCTTGCACCCCCCACATGTGCAGTCTAGACTCTATATTCTTTAATAGAAAGCTTGTTGATGGGCTGCAAATGGGCTTTCTATTGAAAGCCTTGAAAGCTGGTGTGTGTCTGCATAGGGCTTCCGATACAGGACGAGAAAGAGAATGTATGGCTCTATGCAGGCAGCGCTGCAAAGATTATTCATGCCCAATTACAAGCAAGCATATACTACACAAATTCTCAGCATGCAGGTGGTTTGGGGGGGCTTATCCTTCAATATAAACTCTTACTGGTTTGCTTAGTTTACTTACCATCTTGTTTTGATAATCAGCAGTTAACCCTAACATACAGGACTGTTTGAAACTAATCATGAAATCACCTAATTCCAGATATCAAAATATCAATATTCCACTTATTAGAACTAGAAATAGAGACAAAAACCACTGTAGTTCGTTCTACACTATAATACAGAAGAAAGTGCTCAGTATGAAGATATTATTAGCCTTGTATGAATGAAGTGTTCAAACATTGTTTCTGGGGGTTCTTAGTATCCTTGTAGTATCATGGGCTGGGTTATTGCAAACATGAGTACATGTATAGCGTGTGATCAATTTGACTATTTATACCATGATATCTAAATTTATTATGATACAAACTCCGAACAGCAACAGGCGTCTACTTTCATTTTTTTTCTTTGAATGGAGCTACAGAGTTTGCAGAGACCTCAACAGTAAACATCCCCTGATGTATACAGGACAGGACTATGATGGCGGGCAGTTGAGTTTGTAGGCAGAACCAAGCAAGAGAGATACATTCAGTGAACTGTAGAGGGAGAGAAGGCAGATGTTTAGAAGGCTCTTTTTAGTTCAGGAAACATGAAACCAGTTCTTATTTCCCTGATTTGGTGGTCTGTCCAATTACAAAAGGTTTGTAGACAGCATGCTGCCTCCAATATTGCATTCAAACAGTAGTTTTTACTAAAATAGTTACACGTCACAAGAAACATTTAGGTTATCCAATCTTCGCGAAGGCTTACTGTTTAAATGCAATTTTCCTAAAGCTTAACTTCAGGCAGACCGATACCAATGAATGCAGTTGCGTATTCGCTAAAAATGATTGCATGTATATTTATGCAACTGCAGTAAGTTCCTGAATCCAATTTGGTATCTGTCTGTTGCAATGCCCTGTACAGCACAGTTCAGGCTGGGAGAGGTAGGGGTAGCAATAGTGTTGTAATACACATGAGCTGGAAATACATTCAGGCAGCAGAGAGCAGAGTAGACAAAGGAACCAATTATCCCTTTTATTTGTTCATGCAGTATACAGTCACATCTGCTAAAGAGCCAGATGTCCAACTTTCAAGGCAAGCAGCCAGAACTTATGAAGTGTATCTTTAATTTTATTTCTATTTATTTATATCTATTAATTTATCTTTCTTTTTTTTTTAGGTCAAATAACCAAAGGTTTAACACTAAGAACAAGCCCTTCCACAATGTTGTGGTACCTTGTATATCATCAGGCCTTTTTATACATTGGGGATTAGTTAGCTGTTTTTCTGCCACTAGCTGGCTTTGTCCTCACCTGTGATTGCTGAGTGGATGTCTCTTTGTCTAGATTCTCAATGTCACTTTCATCTGCAGCAGTTGTCTGAACAGTCCTCTCATCCTCAGTAGGCCATAGCCTACTGGTCTCCTGACTGGGACTAGCTACCACACTTTCAGTTGTATCTTCCCACATTTCAGTCTCTTCTTCTGTGGGACTAGGCATTGGTGTTGTAGACGTGGAAACAGCAATGGCAGGTTGAAATTTGTGTACTTGTGTTGTCCTGACAGGTCCTGGGGTTACACCAGCAGTGGTTGCCTCTTCTTTGGTAGGAGTAGTGGGAGTGGAGGCAGCAGTCATGGAAGGAATTTCTGGTTCTTCAGGAGGAGCCCATGGATGGTGTCGATGTACAATGGTGGCTTGGGTTGTAGGAGGAAGCCATGTTGTTTGTACAGGGGAAATGACATATACAGTAGGTGCTGGTTTTAGCGCTGTGGCTGTCGGGGGTAAACTGGGGGTCTCTGTTGTATACCTAACCCCCGAATCCCGCCTGGATTCCCATTCAAAATCTGTGAGCACATAAAAATTAGTTTTATTTTTGGATAGCTTAATGCACACTACTATGGGAGGCTAGTAACAAAATTTCAGAAACCCAAAAAAATAAATAGCTGGACAAGTCAAGTTGACACGTGCAATAACATGAAAACAGGTGTAAAATAAACACAATGAAAGGCTAAGCAAGGAAATAATAGCACAGGTCTGAAGAACGAGGCATGAAGAGCATATGTATAAATGGTTAAATATACACCAAAGATTGAAAATATTGAAAATACAAGCATTTAAAAAAAGTGTCTGTGAAGGTTCTCATTTATCCAGGTCATGGTATATCTGTAAAAAATAAGTCAAGGCAACTGGACTTGCTGTATTTTTCTTGAAGGCGTTTCACTGGACATCCGACCAGCTTTCTCAATTTAGAATTCTGAATTGAAAAAGCTGGTTGGATGACAATTGAAACGTCTTCAAGGAAAAATACAGCAAGTCCAGTTGCCTTGACTTATTTTTTACAGATATTTTAAAAAGTGCATTAACATTAAGTAATGACTGACATTTTTGTGTCTTTGCTTGTGGAAATAAGGTTATGTTTAAAGACCCTGCCACCTACTTCAAAAATTGCAGGTAAAGGCACAGTAAAATCAAGTATTTCAAATGCTTATTTGAAGCATTTTTCCATTTCATAAATTATTTTTTATAACCTTGCAATGTACCTTTAAACTTACCAGGGATTTTAGCCATTCTAGGAAACGTCAATTGCCTAGCACAGTCCTTCCTGCCATGTCATAGCCCTCTACTCTTTTGAGAGTGTGTAATTATTGTCTGTGCTGTCACAGCTCCTCCAACCCTCCCCTCAGCTTTTATCTAGCTGCCAAGGGAGGAGTGAAGGGAAACACTATACAGCATGTACGACAACCTACTGCAGCCTATAATATCTTTTTAGTGGCACGCAGAACGCCGATGCCATAGGGTGTAATTAACAACTCACTAGGGTGGTAATTACAAAGCCTGGCCTTCCCTTCTGTGCCCACAGGGCAACCACCTACCTGACATCACTCATGTTCACTGATGTCCTCCCAGTACCAATACAGACACTCATCAAGTTGGCGATAGGATTGCATTCTGATAAACCCATCGTAACCCTATAGTATTGGCAGCAGACAGTACACAATGGGGATCAATAGGCAAACTGCTATTGGCTATTTGCTATTGCTATTTCAAATTGCAATAGCAGGCTGGCTATAAAAACCCTGCCCACTAAGCGGAGGAGTGTACCTGAGAGAGAAAGTTCTCTCTCAGTCTGGCTATTGCTCCCGGCTGTTTACATTCACCTGCTGGCTGCACAAGCTATCTGGCAGGTGAATGGGGAAGTCTAGTGCCTCGGGGATGGTTGCTTGAGAGTTAATATTAATGCCCAAGCAACCAGAAACAACAGTTATCTGGCACCTACCAATCTGTGGGTGGCGAATAACTGGGAGTTTACTCTACAGTACTGTAGAGTAAACTCCATCATAAATGCAAGATTGTAGCTCGATCTATCGCAACCCGAAAAGCATCTGTACTTATTTTTTATGCAACAGAGCTCCATCTAGTGGCCATAATGTATTATTACAGAACCATACATTTGAACTGGGAAAGATATAATTTATTATACAATTAATGTGGAAAAGGATGCTGACCCCTGCAATAGAGTTTCACTTGAGTGACAGCTCTGAATCTGCTGGGGCTACTGACATCACATCGCTGGAGCATCCAGCACCAGTCTCAAGGTTTTGGCAAGTCTACACATAAAAGGCTTATAAAAGTAATACGATTCTTAAAATACATTTATTGCACATATAATCTTGTGGGAAGATTGTTGTTGAAATGAATGGCCAACATCCAGCTTGTACAAGCAGAATTAAATAAAGATTTTATTAACAAAAAGAGTTCTTGTTTTTAAAGAGACACTGTCACTTTGCCTATGCAGGCATCCCATAGTTGCAGGGCCCATTCCCTTTGTTCCCTGGCAACATCTGCAGATGACTACAACAAAAAGGACAGCCCTACACAAGGCCCTTTTGTGGCCAAAGTATGACCTGCTCCAATGTTTTACAAGTCTTGTACCCTCGGGTTACCCTGCTTGTCTTAACCCCAACTTACAAGCAGCATCTCTCTTCACAAGCTGTACCACTCAATACCACTAGCTTACACCCCCACAATTTGCACAAGGCTTTCTTGTTTATTGGGATCAAGGCATCTTCTAGTTCCCA